TGCATGATGTTTTCAAAACCTTCGGGTCATCTGTAAGCCCTTTAGTGCATGATGTTTTCAAAACCTTTGGGTCATCTGTAAGCCCTTCAGTGCATGATGTTTTCAAAACCTTCGGGTCATTTGTAAGCCCTTCAGTGCATTATGTTCTCAAAACCTTCGGGTCATGTGTAAGCCCTTCAGTGCATGATATTTTCAAATCCTCCGGGTCATCTATAAGACCTACAGTGCAAGATGATAAGACCTCAGGGTCATTCATAAGACCTCTGGGCAGAATGTTTTCAACATTTCCATCTTATCCAAAAGAAGCCAAATGAAAAATTATTGTCTTTTTCGTCTTTGCTCTATTCTTGTTAACACAAGAATGAGCAAAGAGGGGCAGCTGTAGACACTAATTTTTCAGTTTGCTTTTATTATTATTATTATTATTAATATACATTATTATTATTATTATTATTAAATAAAAATACATATTACAAATTACAATCTGGATCCCATATTATTAATCTCGGAGCCCAAGAAGAGGGCCAACAATGGCCCAACAATGGCCCAACAGTGACCAGTCCAGAACCGACCCAACCTAAAAGGACCAATAGATTCAAAACCCAATTAGGGTTTCTATATTTCTACTAGGGTTTCTAAACCCTAGCTTCTATGCCACCGCCGCCTCAGCTATCTCCAAGCTTCCAGCCGCCACGCCTCTGTCAGGTCGTCCAACGCCTACTACCGACACTACAATGCCACGCCACCTCTCCGTCGAAGACTCCAGAAGAGCCAGCTGCCCCCTCCACATCGCAGCTACAAAAGGTGAGTCACCACTATAGTATGGTGACTCACCAAAAAATCTCTTAGGATCGGTCCGAGACGAGCTCCGACGAGGCCTATAAATGGCCACAATCACCTGCAAAGAAAAGGGGAGCAAGCAAAGAGAACTGAGCAAGACAGACAACGACGGACAACAACAAAGAACTAACAGCCACGACAAGAAGGAGAAGAACGAGAACAACAAGCACCCACAACAATATCAAACAAAATACGAAGAGAAAACGAAATAACCAGCAAAGAAGGAAACTTACTCGGTCATCCGAGTTCTTCAAAGGTCGCCGGAAAACCGAAACATAAGAGGTAAAAATCCTAGATCTAGGAATTTCTAAGGGTTTTTAAGAAAAATAAAGATCGTATTCGGCTTTAGGAAGTGGAGATCTACGATCTGGTTATTTTTGTAAAATCTGACCACCGTTCATGGTGGCCGGCGGCGGTCATCGGAGCCGAAAAACGGTGGCCGACAAGAGCTTGTTTCCCTCCGATAAGGGAAACTAGAGAGAAGGGAGAGGTTCTCTCCTAAGGAGAGAAAACCAGAATTGAGAAATGAAGAAAATTGGGCAAAATGGTCGGTTAAATAGGGTATTTATACCCCTTCCCGAACGACGTCGTTTTGGGGAGGGGTGTGTTAGTAATTTTTCGAGTGGAATATCCATACCCGCAGCCATCGCAATTTTGTAACTCTGCATTTGTCATTGAAATCAAATTCTAAGCATTTTAATTTGGTCTTTAAATTTTATTTAATTTTTAATTTATCCCATACCATGTTTATATATATTTTAGGGTAAATATTATATTTAGTCCCTTATAATATTTATAATTTATATTTTAACCCAAATTAATTAATTAAGGCTAAATTATATTATTAGCACTTAGATTTTTTTATTCAAGTTAGATCCTTTAATTTTAATAATTATTATTTTAATCATTGATAAATAATTAAGGGATAATTACTCTATTAGTAATTATATTTTATGATAATTTGAATTATGTCCATAAATTTAAATATTTTACATTTTAATCCTGTAATTTTAATTTTATTTGTTTTAAGTCCCAGTTTAAATTTTAAATATAAATTTTATTATTATTTTTTATATGTTTAAATCATTACTTTAATTATTATTTTAGTCATTATTTAATGCAATTTTATTATATATATATATATATATATCATTTATTTTTAATCTGTTTAAATTAGTAATTTATTTATTTGTTTGTTATTATTTATGTTTTATTCACTAATATTTATATATAATAATTTCATAATTAAATAAAAATATTTATTTATTTTTAAATATTAGGAAAGGGCAGTCTTAATATAACTAGATGTCCTATTCTGATATTTTAAAAATAAATAAATATCATGCTTATAAATGTATATATATTTATTTAGTTTGTATTATTCTTTTAGGAAAATTATTATATTATTATTAATATTTATTTATTTATTAATATTAAAGAAAAGACAGTCTTAAAATAACTAGATGTTTTTTCTGATATTTTTAAATAAATAAATATCATATTTACAAAACCCTAAATATATATATATATTTAATATTTTTCCTTAGAAATATCATATTATATTTGAAATAACACGATTGTAAATTAAATTCATATTCGAATTCTTAAATTTCACTAATAAAGACAATTTATAATCAATGAGTACCGATTTTGGGCGTTGTGGGGTGCTAATCCTTCCCCAAACGTAACCGACCATGAATCCCTTTTTATTAATAAAAAATAATGAATTTTGGTGATAAACGCAGACTGGTTTATCTTTTAACTGATATTTTTTTAATAACTTTTTTAAAAGATGATTTTTAGGTATTTAACCTACCTAACCCAAAAGGCTGATGGCGACTCCCAAAATATTTTTTAAAATCAAAATCATTTTTTATCCACATTATTTTCCCGCCAAATAAAATTTTGTGCCCGGACGAAAACCAGTTACGACATATGTGATGAAAGAGATATTGTCAAATTTTTAGTGAGATAATATAAATGTTACCTAATAATATTATGAATGACGCTTATGCATAATGTCACTTTATAATTTATATTTTATGACAGTTGGTTACGTCACTAAATTAAATAATATTTCGTTATTGATAGTTTATATTGTCACAAATAATGCATTAAAATCAACTTATATGTGACGAAAAAGATATTGTCACATTTTTAGTGACATAATATATCGTTACCTAATAATATTATGAATGATGATTATGCATAACGTCACCATACATAATGTCACCAATATAGTAGCAAAACTAAAATTTGTCACATTTTTAATGACAATATATATTAAAATAAAATTATTTATACAAATGTAGATGAAAAAATAGCTTACTTATTGCAAAATAATAAGATTTAAACAAATATTTCACTAAAAACATAATTTCATTTCTATAAATATAAAAATGTTTAAATGTTTACAGAAACTAAAAATAATATGATAATAATGACTTGTGAAATATTTCGTTGTAGGAATCTCAATCCAGACCTTGAGTCGATTGTGATTCTGTTGATGTTGAGTTTGTGGTATCATTTAAAGCTACAAATTAAAAATAATCAACATTAATTACTATAATTAATATTATATAATAATTTTTATATGTTTAAATATATCGTTTACCTGAATATTGAAGTGATGGTACTTGAATTCCAACAACTAACAAAACAGATCTCATAGCTTCCATTTGAGTTTGAATCATTTCAAAATTCGACTTATAGTTATTAAGTTCTTTATTCTTCAAACTCTTTTTTAACTTGATTGTATCTTCACTTGAATTTGTTTTCTTAGGCTTTGGCCCATATCCAAGCCCCGAAATGTATCCTGGTCTCGTACCAAGTACCTCATCCATTATATCATCAATATTCTTAGGTTCTGCTCCTTCTTCAACTGGAGTTGATTGCAACTCCACCATTTTCTCCTAAAAAAAGTCATTCATAAATAAAATAATCCTTAGATGAAAAATTACAATTTAATACTTAATTTTGTGAGGTCTTACATATTTTGCTCGTGCCTCAGATGTTGTCCATCCTTTGTCATTTTAATAATGAGTTGCCTTGAAGAAATTCATCATATTTGGTTCTTCATCATCCTTGCGTTATATAATTTCAAAAAATAAAAATTAGACTCTAAAATAAAAATAAGCTTTATAATAAATATCAAAAGTGTCCAACTTACCATAGCATATCAGCTAGCGACAAAAGCTCGAGATCCTTGATTAGGAGTTAACTTGACATTTCTTTCAACTCTTGCATTAGTTTCACACTTCCTCTTCAATTATAAACATAATATATAATTTATTATAGAAATAAAAAAGAGCAAAAATTTATGAATCACATAAATAAAAATACAGTAATCGTACCTGATATTCAGGATCACTAAACAAATCACAAAGTTGTTCCCAATTTTCTTGTGTCAAGTTATAGTGTCGGCTTGTTTTGGCGTGCCACAACATCATTTGGGAATTTCTTAAAGTGCAAATGAACCTTATGTCGATGGTTCCTTGATAACTTTGACATAATTGGCATGACAAAGCTCTTCCCATAATCATCATCTAATTTCATCTCAAACTTTGGTATAATAAAAATAAATAAATTATTCAACGTTAAAATCAAAGACTTTGCTACAAAGAAAATAATATGTATATATACACATCTTATTTTTTATATTTTTAACTATATCATTGGTACTAATCAATCCTCATTTGCTAATCCAACCTTTCAAATAATATTAATGAATTAGCTAATCCCAACTCCCAAGCCAAAATAGAGGAAGATTAAGTCAAATTACCAGGCAACATAGAATTATGGCCAGGTATCTTTGGACAACGTTTCCTCAGATCATTAAAAGATAAACATGGTCATCAGACACACTGCTAGTCAACATTTACAGACAATTAATGCAAAGAATAAGCTATAAAATAGAAAACAAAGATCACGCTATCCCATCCACCAAGGCTAATGAGTTTGAGAATTTTTTTGCTTACCGCACTGAAGGCCTCGGTTAATCAAGCCATTTAAATTGATTTCACTATCCAACAACTAACACTCCAAACAAAATTGATGCAGAAGACAAAAATTTACAAAGGTGTAGAAATAACCATAAAGATGAAAGTTGATCTTAAATAGACAAAAAGCAGAAAAATAAATATGTTTCGTTAAACACTTAGTGAAAAGAGAGTTTCAGATGACCTATCATATGGATGCAAATTTGGAGCATCCGGAACAGGATGCAAAGCTTCCTGAAAATTCAACAATTGCTTTAACTTTAAAATGACTTAAAATATAGAAACAAAAGAATCTTTCATTTTAGTAAACCTTTTCCAGAGAAAATAGTATCGTCAATGTTGTCTTGAACGAACCTCTTGGGGCTTTCCAATAGAATAGCCATCTGGGTAAAGATTCAAGGTGAAGGAAATTTCATGGTCTGCAAAAACAAGAAAGAACAAACAAAAATGCTCACAATTCAAACATTATCGACAATCAGAAGAGAAAAAATAAAACAAAACACAATAATGGTTTTGAAGCTTGACTGACTCTAACCTGCAGGAACACGATGCATTGCATCAGAAATTCTTGATTGAGACACCCCAGGAACATTATCGAAAATCTTGATCCTGCCAACTGCCCGAGTAAATTTACGGGTCACGAAATTCTCTCCTCTCCTCGGCGACTCGTGATTGAACAAAATCCCATTACATGCGAAAATCCCGTACGCTTCCCTATAATTGTCAGTGTACCAATGTGCAGCGCATTTCGAAGCCGCGTACGGAGATCTGGGGTGAATTGGGAGTCTTCAGTTTGGGAGTGGATCCGAACATTTCCGAAGTTCTGGCTTGGTAATACCTGATATGGCTCCGATCCGTGTCGGCGATATGCGATCGAATGACTTCCAAAAAACGGAGGGCTCCAGTGGCCATCACGTCAGCGGTGTAATCAGGGATCTCAAAAGAGACGGCGACGTGGGATTGGGCAGCCAGGTTGTAGACCTCGTCGGGTCGGATCGTGTAGATCCAACGACAAAGCGAGGAAGCGTCGGAGAGGTCAGCATAATGGAGTTTCATTCGAGTCTTGTGGGCCTTTATGGGGGTCGATGTAGATGTGGTTTATACGCTGCGTATTGAAGTTGGAAGAGTGGCGGATCAAGCCATGGACTTCGTAAGCCTTTGTTGAGAAGGAACTCAGTCAAGTACGAACCATCTTGACCGGTGATGCCGGTGATTAACGCGATCTTGCGTTCGGGAGGTGCCTCGCCTTTAATGGTGGAGGATCCAGTTTTGGATCCGACACTGGAACTGTCATTTTGGAGTTCATAAAAGTATGATGCTGCGGCTGGATTTTGAAGGCAAGAAAAGACACGGCATCAATGATTTGGGCGATTAGTGCAGTTGCAGTGGTTTTATTATTAGGGAGAAAGGGTAAAATGGTCAATTACTTCCCTCCAAACTTACCATTTTCTCCTCTCCATTGCATTGCTAGTGCCAATTAAATCATCCCTGTTCTTGCTGTTAGCCAAACTTGACGAGATAAATCAATTTTCATCGCATTAAAATATATGGTATTTTCTTGCTGTTAATCAAATTTGTTTAATTTTATTTTTTATATTTTCTTATATCACGAGTTTTATATTTATTGAGAATATTAGCCATATATTATATGACAAGACTTAATGATAAGATGCATATTAGCCATATATTTTATGATATTTTCCTCATACTTGAATAACTAAAATTACTTAAATCATGTTATATTTCGTATTTTGTGAATTAGGTTGAAAATTTAAATTAAACAAGTTCAAAATCTAATGATTGGTATGATCTTCACCAAATCCCAAATAAAATATGAAAAATAGGAATTCAAGAAGTTGGCAAGACCAGATGAGGTTTTCGCATAAGGCATGGACATGACTTCTTCATCCTAAGCTATCACAGAAGAAGTCTGCAGTTAAGGCGTGGGCACAACTGAGTCATCCTAAGCTATCGCAGAAGTAGCCTACAGTTAAGGCGTTGAAATGCCTTACTAGTCCGTACAACCCTAAATTAGGGTTATGAATTTACAAGGGAAAAGGAGTTTAATGAGGCTTAAAGACTCTATTGAATCATTCTTATCTTTAGAGAAGGATGAAGGTATTCAAAAATCCCTATTTTGGTGGGATTCACTTTTGAGAAGCTTTCTTATCTAGAATAGGGCAATCCTTATAAAAGGAGAGCTAGGGTTTTCATAGGAGGCATTAAGTTTTATATTTTAAGAATTTTATAATTTAAATTTTTATTACACTTGTTTTATAATAATATTTTTTTATATATAAAAGAGTAATATTTTATATTTTAAAATTATTGATGTTATATGTATCTAAATATACTAAAACTTTATGGTATTTCTATGATCAAGTATAAATATCTATTTTTCCTAAACATTTTGATGTAATTGCATGAAAATCATGGAAGTATAGTAATATATAAAAAATCATCTGCTCTTTTCTTTTTAACGATTTATTATTTTATTTTTTACTCTAAAAAAAACTTTGAATGTAAGATAATCTAATATAGAATAATGTCAATAAAATATAAAACACAAAAAAACTCTATGAATTGCATTATTTAATAAGGTTGTTAGATTATCTTATTTTTTAACATTAACTGACATAAATTCAAGACGTCTTTTAAAATTATCATATAGAAAAGAGAGATAAAAACAAGTGACAAATAATTGATTTCGTCGTGTTAAAACTATTTTTTGTGACAATAATAAAATGTCACTTTTAGTGTCTTATAAAATATGACAAATTAAATTGCCACGATTAAAACTTATTAGTGAAAAATGTGCAACGCCACTAATTCAAATTTAATCGTCATTATAATAAATAGTCACTAATACATGTTTTTCATTGGAGACGATTTTACAACGACATTATTTTATCTAAATGTCATTAAAAGGTTTCCCACCAAAGAACTTGGTGGGAAGATTTTGGCTCCAAACATATAGTGACAAAAATTAATGACCATTTTTAAAATTGTCATAAAAGATATAACATTAATTAATAATTATGACGAAAATAAAAAAAGTCACATTATAGTATGTTTTTGTGATGATATACGTAACGTCATATAGAAATTTTGTCTTAAATTGACAAATTTGTTGTAGTATGTATAAACTATATAGTTTATATGTTAAGTATATATATTATATATATAAACTATATATATAAATTATATAGTTTATATTTATATTATTATATACCATTTATAAACTATAGAGTTTATATATGAACTATTGAACTATATAGTTTATATATAAATTATATATATATATATATATAAAGTATAATTATAAAGATTAAAGTATATAATATAAAGTATATATGTATATAAAGTATATATACATATAAAGTATAAGTATGTATATATATATGTATATAAACTATAAAGTGTGTATATATATATATATACACACACACATACATACTTATACTTTATATACTTTTATAATTTTATTATATTCTTTAGTCTTTATAATTATACTTTATATATATATAATATACTTATACTTTATGTCACACCCTAATTTAGGGGCTAGAATTTATTAATTTTAAAGTGTCGAATTAAAGTTATATCAAGGGAGAAATTGAGGACTAAATTGTAAAATCTCGAAGCTGCAAGACCGTTTTAGGGAGTTACAAAAAATTAGGGACTTGAACTCAAATTTATCCATTTTTATTACCCATTGAAAATTTTAACCCCGAGCAATCTGATTTTTTTCCTAAAATAAAACCCCAAATCTCCCAACTTGTGAATCCCTAAAACCCTCCCTCAACAGAAGCCTCACCGACTACCCCAAACACTCACCGTTCGACAAACTGCTACCCCCGTCCGACTAGTCCTTAACCGGCGACCAAGACCCCCAGGGTCTATCGCCGTGAAACACTTTCTTCCGTCGTGTATCATTGTCGAAACCAACTCCCATCGCCGTACGCTTTTGCCTCAATTCTGACCGATCCGGTGATCGCTTCGTCTCACCACCTGTGTCGTTAGCATCTTTGTCCTCAGGCACTCGTGACCTTACCCGTGGGTCAAAACATTATCATCGTTCATCATCGTCGGTGTGGGTAAGGGTTTCTGTCATTTGTTTTATTTTAATTCAGATAGATTGGGGCTGATGTTTGAGTTGTTTATTGCTTGATATATTGTGTGAATGATTAGGGAAGAATTAACGACTGTGTCTGGCCGGTTCATGAAGCTTTTGGAACCGGTCCAACTGGTTTTGACCAGATAGAACTGATCATGCCAGTTGAACCGGGTCTTATTAACTCGACTGAGTCAACCCGGATTGAGTCAACTTTTCTGAGTCAACTCGATTGAGTCAACTCATTTGAGTCAACCCATTGACTTTGACCGGTGACCGTTGACTTTGACCCTAAAACCTAACTTTTTTGAAAAGGTCATATTTATGTTTTTCGATGTCACGAGACGGAATCCATAGTCCGTTTTGCCAAATACACACCCGGTAAGTTGTTTTTAGTGATTTATCTTAAGAATCAAAATAGGTTTTCTGATTAAGTTCAGTTTCTGACGTAAATTTGGTTGCTTTGTATATGAGGAATTAGTGGACATTGAATTAAAGTTTGAGGCATATCAAATGGAGTTTAAATGGTCGATAGATATGGAATAAAAATCGAAGTAATACTCTACGACCTTTTGTATGCTTTTCGAAACTAATTGATAAATGGTAAACGCATGAATGGAAACGATTAGTCCATTAGGTGTATTTAACTATCATTGGAGTCATACAAAATTTGGAATATAGACAGAACACAATATAAGATTCAGACGGCTTGAAAAAGGGAAACTAGAAGATCGATAGGAAATAATTATAAGATTATTGATTTAATAATAAATGAATTGATTTCAAGATCCGTAAAATTTGATAAATTTCCTTAAAGGATAAATACCAGGATTATTTGGATAAGAAATTACAAAAAATAGCCATATGAGGTAAAAATTACAAAAATACCCTTAAACTGTATAAGACCAAGACTTCCCCGGATGGTGAAAAATAACCCATAAAAGACATACTTGCTCAGAAATAATGTATATGATTGAATTGAAAGGAATTGTTGAAATGCCTTCGAGCTTCGTAATAACTATAATAACCTCCACTTATAAAAGGAACAAATACCTTAAACTCTAAAGGAACTAGAATACTTGAAGCCTAATATATCAGAAGTAATGTCATTGACAGGATGGAATAAAATGATAATGATACGCTTATAGTGTAAAAAAATACAATGGATGGCTATGATAATGGAGACGACCTGAGAACTCATATTTTGATTCACTTTAACCTTGGAATCATCAATTTAAATTCCAGATCTATATTGGAATTACAAAATTTCCCTTGAAATGTAAAATAACCAAAATGCAACTAAAGTGTAAAATGACCTAAAGTGTCTCCAAGCCCTGGAATAACTAATTCCCTAAAGCTCCAAAAAGAATAAATCAACCTCGAATACCAAATGACCTAGAATTTCTATTTTTTGAGATAATACCCGGAGACTTAATTCTTGAAGGTATTTTAC